TATTTCACTTTGATATTTAAATTCTATTTATTAACGTGTTAATGGACGAATGAGAGATATTCTTCTTGCAGATAGAAGCCTCTTCGAGAAACCTATAACTCTCAAGAATGGCGGATATGGCCCCAAGGGAAAGAGGGGTCCTTTTTGAAAGAGGACGTAAAAGGTGAAGTTTAGTCTGTACTTCCGTCCAGTGCCGATGTAAAGAGCTTCGGAGCCCACCCTGGAAGTCCTTTCGGCCAAGGAGCATCCTTACAGGAACATCCTTGCAGGAAGAATCCCCCGAAGACCACCGAGGAGAGCTCCCGGTTTCGAAAACAACCCTCGGATCGAAACGATCGGATTAACAGAAATAAATCCGCACGCGTTTAATCGCAGGATTAACTCGTTCTTCCTGAAGCTGGGTCCCGGTCGAAGGATTTAACCCGTAGTCGAGTTAATCGCGCATTGACCCTGCCCGGGATTACGCGGCTTTCCCGTTGAAATGCTCGTAAGAAAGATGGCTTGACTCGGCGAAAAATGGCCGGAAAATTCTTCCTGCAAGAGAAAGCGCGGATTTTCGCGCCTTGGCCGATAGGAAGCAAAAGGCTCTCATACCCTGAAACATCCTCAGAATTCCCCACCCAAAGAATCAGGAAAGGAATCCATCTCTTCAACCCAGGATTTACTTTTAATATTACTATTTTTTATTTAATTTAAATTTACTTTTAATATCACTTTTTTATCTTAATATTTACTTTAAATTTATTTTAAATACTACTTTTAATTTTTATTTTATTTTATTAGGATTCACTTTAAATATTACTTTTAATTCGTCATCCCTGCAACATTAAATAACGAATCCTTCTCATAATTTCAGGATATCCAAATATTATTTTTAATTCCTAATTCTTACAACGTCGAGTAACGAATCGTCCTCGCGATTACAAGAATCCAATGGTTAAGGCAGGAATTGTTAGTTAATTTTTTTTTCTCGCCGTGAAAATAATCCGCAAAAGAAATTTATCAAATCCTGTATATTCATTGTTTTATTTAGAATGCTTGTATTTGCTATTTCGTGCTGTGCCATTTTTTAGAGTGCAGCTGTAATACACGATTCTCTTCATTTCGGTAGAAATGAACACATTCGCGACCGCTGACGTGAATTCACGTCATTTTAAATTTTATTCCTGATTGCCGCTGACGCGAATCACGTCCATAACGTTACATGATACAAGTTTGCGGCAACCAGTCTCTGAATTTCATGATTTTCCTCGGTACTCGGTATTTGAAACGGAAAAAACTTGCGGGTCACTCGCGAATGTGTTAAAAGGCCATACCGATCGTATTCATATCGAACGGCAAGAACTTCGAGAAGGGGCACTCGAGAGTGAAGAAGTCGATGCAACTGGGAATTCGGGTGTCGGTGGAAGACGTGCCAGAGTGAATGGAAGTACACCCATTTACGAAATATTTCGACAGGTCGGCATTACCATGACAATGTCGGTACCTGTCGGCCGGTCCCCACCTGTGAGGCCGGCCATCTTTATTGCCCGTACGTGCCGGTGCAAGATTTTCCGAAATTTTCGAGGGCCTCTTCGACCACCCCTCGAGGCACAACCTCGGGGCCGAAATAAACGCGAATTCGACACCTGCATTACCCTCAAGTATCGGGCTCGAGAGAGCTCGAGCGGTATTTCGAGAATCCTTCGAGTGCCCTCGACGAGTGGCTGTAAAACTCTCGAGTTTGCTGGTTCTGGTCTCTCTACCGAAATCCGACATAATTCTGAGGTAAGCCGAAGATAATTTACGACACTCGAGAATTCGGGGCCCAAGTTCCCTTTCCTATGATTTTACCCTGCATGCAGAATTTATTTCTCAATATCGTAAATGGATGGCACATCCTAACTGAGAAATAAGAGCAAATAGTCAACGATTGATTTCATTTTTTTTTTTGGTCTCTTCATCAAAACCGTCATAATTATAAGGAAAGCCGAAGATAATTTATGACACTCTAGAGTTCGGGGCCCAAGTTTCCTTTCCTATGATTTTACCCTGCATGCAGAATTTATTTCTCAATATCGTAAATGGATGGAACACCCTAACTGAGAAATAAGAGCAGATAGTCAACGATTGATTTCATTTTTTCTGACCTCGGATATTTAACTGCGTGCAGAATTTATTTCTCCAGAATGTAAACGAATGGCAAATCCTAACTGAGAAATAAGAGCAGATAGCCAACGATTGATTTTCTTTTTTAGCAACAGTCTTAAGGGAATGGAGAACAAGAACTTTTGCTGGGAATTATTGGACAAGCAGGCCCGAACTTTGCGGAAAACAATATTTTTTCATCTTGTATGTGGGAGGAAAGGACGGAAACATTTGTTGCTCCGACTTTCAGGATAGTGATTAATAACTGAGACGATCGATCTGCTTGGTCTGCCGGTGGGAACGTTTACGGTCAGTTCTCTCACCAGTAGCACAATAAATTCAAGCGAGGTGCTCCTGTGTGGTCTGTCGACAAAGAGGACCTAGCCAATGCCCTACTGTGAGTGATTATCATGTTCTCATCAAATAACAATTTGTCAAATATTCAAAATCGTTTCTGCGTCCCTGCTCAGGAAAATCGTCCCAAAAGCGGTCGCCAAATCATATTCGCCCGAGCATAAACGGTGCAAAATTCAACCGATAAGAAGAAACCCTCAAATATATCCCCGAGAAAAAATTAGTTTCCCTTCCACATAAAAAAAAATTCTCCCTCTAAGTCAACGCCTATGATTAAATTCCAGCAATTTCCAAACCTAATCAGGCACTGTTGGCTTGCAGAATAAAAATCGAAAGTTTCCGAAAAGTGGAATTCTTCCAAGAGAATAAATAGATAGCCACTTTCGTCATCGCCCAGCTTAAACGGTGCAAAAATTCAACCGATAAGAAGAAACCCTCAAATATATCCCCGAGAAAAAATTAGTTTCCCTTCCACATTAAAAAAAAAAAAATTCTCCCTCTAAGTCAACGCCTATGATTAAATTCCCGCAATTTCCAAACCTAATCAGGCACTGTTGGCTTGCAGAATAAAAATCGAAAGTTTCCGAAAAGTGGAATTCTTCCAAGAGAATAAATAGATAGCCACTTTCGTCATCGCCCAGCTTAAACGGTGCAAAAATTCAACCGATAAGAAGAAACCCTCAAATATATCCCCGAGAAAAAATTAGTTTCCCTTCCACATTAAAAAAAAAAAAATTCTCCCTCTAAGTCAACGCCTATGATTAAATTCCCGCAATTTCCAAACCTAATCAGGCACTGTTGGCTTGCAGAATAAAAATCGAAAGTTTCCGAAAAGTGGAATTCTTCCAAGAGAATAAATAGATAGCCACTTTCGCCGAAGGAGTCGGCACTCTTTTATCGCCGAGCGGCAAGANCAAACCTAATCAGGCACTGTTGGCTTGCAGAATAAAAATCGAAAGTTTCCGAAAAGTGGAATTCTTCCAAGAGAATAAATAGATAGCCACTTTCGCCGAAGGAGTCGGCACTCTTTTATCGCCGAGCGGCAAGATTTGTCTTTTTTTAGGCGATACGCGCCGAAAGGCCCGGGGAAAATTCGATTGTCAAAAGCGTGTTTCGTTCCACCTCGTGGAAGAGGACCAAGAAGGTCCTCGTCCACAAGGAAGCATCGTTTCGAGGGAAATAAGAGCGTAAGGAAGGCTCGCAGGAGGAGAAGCCTCTCTCGTAGACTCGACCTCGGAGGGGACAAAAAACGCAGTTCTACGTTCATTCACGAAGTCGCTACAAAGGCCCAGCAGGTTCAGGATCCATGAATGAACGTAGTATCCGCGTAGTAGCGGACCTGCCGACCCTTGTCCTGCGGGGGTATCCCGAAGGAGCGGTCCTCTCAAACGTGTCCAGGACTCGGCACGGCAGGTTAACGTGGATTCGGATTTTAAGGACCGTTTAAGGTGAAGTGAAACCCCCTTCAAATCAGTCGATTCGAATACAACACTTCTTTTTTAAGGGTATTAGACCAAACTGTCCGAAACTTCGACCATCCATGATCATCTAAGAATTATCCCGACACATTAAAAATTGGGTTTTTTTAACAAAATTTTTTAACTCAACCCAGACCAAAACCAAAATGGCGTCGAGCTCTCATATTTCGATAAATATACAATTATCGAAGGCTCGGATATGAGAAACAAAAGGGTCGGGACAATTTTACGACAATTTAGAACACTCTGGTAATCGATAAACTCGCATTTGAACGGGATAAAGGCAAAGAAAGTGTTGTGTGCGCTTCTATGCCATAACGATGGGAATACGAGGTCTCGGAGTGAAAATTTAATTGACCTGGAAATCACAGATGGCGCAGGGGGTCCCTCTGCAGTGAATTAGGGCCCCAAAAAGCATGAATCCAGAGGATTTCTGGAGTTTTACTTCGATTTCTTTATAATTATTGTAGGAAAACGACAGGTGGAGTATGCCATTTGGTACAATATCCAATATAATTCGACCGAGCTGTCGATATAAAAACGAACGTTGGCAACGTAGGATGGTTAACGATAAATCCGAGTACTAAATTGAATATGTCTTGGAAAAAATGAGCTTTCATCCCGATAACGTGATATCTGCGGCACGATTGCACCTCCACCTTGATAACCCTCGTGCACCCTGTGTTCGGGAATATCTAAATGCGATCCGAGCAATAACCAGCCGTAACTGCATCCCCCGATAACCAGCTGCAAGGACTTCCCGTGCCTGGGACAAGCGCGGGTTATCGGGGCAATTGCGTTACGATTATTCCGAAATTTATCGTGGAAACCAACAGGTGCTCCCTCGCTGCCCTTTTTCCACCTAGGTGTCCGATGTAACAAGGCGTACCACTCTATCCCGAGAACGTGCCCCTGACATGCGTGACCCTCCTTAAACGTCCGTTTCCGCTTCCGGTGGGATCTTCTCGCCCGAGGGTGATGGGTCGCATTTGCACTTTTTGATTCGCTCTCGGCATTTTCGAATATCCATGAAATTCTCACCTGTAGTCCTCCTCGTTGCTCACGTAGTCGGGAGGGATCAGGTGCCAAGACGCATCGTAGCAGTCGTCGTATCCTGAGGCCATTGTTCCAAATCCAAAATATGGATCCTCCAAGTTTGGGTACCCCAAGGTCTTGGTACGTCTTCCGGTACCCAAAATTTAGGAATTACTTTTGGATGGGACTTTTCAAAAATGGGAGGTCTTCGATTTTTGCAAACGGCTATCAAAGACTGAGAATTTGTTGATAAGGGCTCTGATTAAGGAAGGAAGAATTGGAATAAATTTATTAATTTCGAACTCGTGATAATTATCACTCGCGACGACTTCCCAACTTCTGACCAGCTTTTTAAAAAATGGGAGGTCCTCTATTTTTCAAACGATTATCAAAGACTAAGAATTTATTGATAAGGGCTCTGATTAAGGAAGGAAGGATTGGAACAAATTTAGTAATTTCGAACTCGTGCTAATTATCGCTCACTACAATTTCCCAACTTTCGGCCGGCTTTTTAAAAAATGGGAGGCCCTCGATTTTTCAAACGGTTATCAAAGACTGAGAATTTATTGATAAGGGCTCTGATTAAGGAAGGGAGGATTGGAACAAATTTAGTAATTTCGAACTCGTGCTAATTATCGCTCACTACAGTTTCCCAACTTTCGGCTGGCTTTTTAAAAAAATGGGAGGCCCTCGATTTTTCAAACGATTATCAAAGACTGCGAATTTATTGATAAGGGCTCTGATTAAGGAAGGAAGAATTGGAATAAATTTATTAATTTCGAACTCGTGATAATTATGGCTCTCGACAATTTCCCAATTTCCGGTCGGATTTAAAAAAAAATAGGACGTCTTGGATGTTTCAAACGATTATCAAAGACTGCGCCTTTATTGTTAAGAGTTGTGATTAAGGAAGGAAGGATTGGTACAAATTAATTAATTTCGAACTCGTGCAAATTATCGCTCACTACGGTTTCCCAACTTCCGGCCGAGTTTGGACTTAAGACCTGGCTCACTTCCGGCATTCCTGGGAGAAAGTTTTCGAGAAAAAAGAGTACTCTTTCTCGAGGGAAATCGGATTCTCGAAACTAATGTAGACCGCGTCTATCTGGCGATACTTTAGCCCGTGTACTAAGTGGCATAGGAAATACATCGATCACCTATATATCGAAAATATGGCTACCTGATAGGAGCTCTGGCAACGTTATCGGTTTGATAACACCCTACATAGATTAGTTTGACTACTGCAGACCTAACGCCGACTAACCCCGAAAGTGAAAAAAGAAAAACTTTTCACAGCTCCCTATCCCTCTGACAAAAACCTTAAAAGATTAAAATTAATAAAACTCAGTCTATCAGTAAATTCGCCATTACGACTCACCCTCAAGGTCCACCGTCTTATATCTAAAATCAATTCTCTGAAATAATTTACTAATAATTTTATTTGCCGTTTCAGGTGACTCAGAACTCGTATATTTTGGAATAACACTTTCCACTGTTGATAGAAAATTATTTCAGCGATGATTACTAATTCTGATCTGCTCTACATTGGCCTCCTTGGCGAACTGATTAATTCCTCGACCCAAACATCGGCAGAAATAATTTATTAATCATTTTATTTGCCGACTTTCCACTGTTGATAGAAAATTATTTCAGCGATGATTACTAATTCTGATCTGCTCTACATTGGCCTCCTTGGCGAACTGATTAATTCCTCGACCCAAACATCGGCAGAAATAATTTATTAATCATTTTATTTGCCGTTTCAGTGTTGATAGAAAATTATTTCAGCGATGATTACTAACTCTGATGTGCTCTACATTGGCCCCCTTGGCGAACTGATTAATTCCTCGACCCAAACATCGGCAGAAATAATTTATTAATCATTTTATTTGCCGTTTCAGGTGACCCAAGGCTGGAATATTTTGGAATCATACTTTCCACTGTTGATAGAAAATTATTTCAGCGATGATTACTAACTCTGATGTACTCTACATTGCCCCCCTTGACGAATAGATTAACTCCTCGACCCAAACATCGGCAGAAATAATTTATTAATCATTTTATTTGCCGTTTCAGGTGACCCAAAGCTGGAATATTTTAGAATCACGCTTTCCACTGTTGATAGAAAATTATTTCAGCGATGATTACTAACTCTGATGTGCTCTACATTGGCCCCTTTGGCGAATAGATTAACTCCTCGACCCAAACATCGGCAGACCGGAAGAAACGCTTAGACATTTATAAGTTTGACTAAAGACCGGAAGTTTTAGATTTCGGATAAGTCAACCCTTCTTCGGGTCGGTTTCCCGCAATCCTCGACCTGGAACTCGAAAAACCATTGACATGGGCTTCTTCGAGGTACTTCGGAGGAAGTCCATTGTCCAGACTGAATGGGCATTATCGACTTCCGGCCTAGTCAGCCGGAGTCAATCGAAATAAAGTGTCGTTAGACACTAATTTGTTAACGACAAGAGACCCTCGAGCTGAAGTGTTCGGGCTTAGCTCGACAAGTGCTCCCGAACGGAGTGTATTAAGCGCTGATAAAATAATACATGTGCCCTATCTATTTTTCTTTTTTTTTCTTCTTATTTTTTTTTTCTGCATCGTCGGTTTCGATAAATACATACTTGTTGCCTTTAATCGGCCTCAAATGTTGCTTGAATGAAAGTACTCTGATGGATCGTGTGCTCGATAAACATCGATCTCTAGGGACATTCGTATCTCGACGGATGAACTTTTTAGCAGGTTCGATTGTCTCTTTATTACGCAATCTCGTTATTGAGACTTTTTAAGGAGGTGATGATGCAGTTAATTCCTATTCTGGACTGCAGCATCATGGCGACATCAATATGTAATTGCCAAATTTTACCGGTTACATAAAAATACCCTTTAAGTATTGTCACACAATTATACTCGACGGATGAACTTTTTAGCAGGTTCGATTGTCTCTTTATTACGCAATCTCGTTATTGAGACTTATTCGAGGTGACTTTTTAAGGAGGTGATTATACAGGTAATTCCTATTCTGGACTGCAGCATCATGGCGACATCAATATGTGATTGCCAAATTTTACCAGTTACATAAAAATATCCTTTGAGTATTATAAGTCGGACATTTAGAGAAATCATTTTTGATGAAACTGATAAACTGAAAATAGATCGGGTTATTTGGTGCCTGATGAGACGAGGACCAAGTAACGATTCTTCCAAAATGGTGAGAAAAATCAAGAGCTCACGTGGGTAGACCTCTTATGAAACAGGCTTGTCATTTATTAAGCATTTAATTATTAATAGGATTAATTATTAATAGAATTTAATTATTAATAGGAAAAGATAGGAATAGAATACTGGGAAATATTTCAAGTATGACCGTAATTATTGCCTGATGTACAAACTGGACAAATTAGTGTCAGTAAGTGTAACCGATACGCTTCCGTATCGAGTACATCTATGACATACGGTCGTAATCTCCATTTATCGGGTTGTGATAAGGTCTTTCGGTAAGAATTGACTACTATTGTTTGTATGCGCTTTGAATAAGCTACACCCGTGAGAAAAAAATAAATAAAACCCTGTTTTGTTAAAGGGTGAAATTTACTTCAAAGCGTGAATCATGTTGATCAAGTGTAATGAACAAGTGTCTCAGATTGTTGAAAGTTATTGATTTCTTTCACGATAATGGAAGATTTAACGTCTAAGTCAGAGGAAAGACAGAAATTGGTATGCTATTCAAATGTACAAGCGAAAATAGTAGAAGTATTGAAAAATGACAGGGACAAGGAAGAAGTTATTATTTCTCAATATTACAAACTCTGGCAAACAGTAACTGATGGCGCCATCTATCCCGATCAACGGCAAACGTGAGAACCATACCTAAATTTTAATAAGCTCTATCGATCGGTAAAGAAGACATTCGTCGATAAAGATTTTACGTGGGAAACATGAAACTTTTTCTTTCATACCGCCACTACCTTCATTACTATCAATCACCATCGTCATGACGGCAGAGAAATAGAATTAAAAAATTGAGATATATGAGCCAGCGTGGTCGGCTGGAGTTGTTGAAATCATCCCCGCTACTAGATGTATAGTCCTGTTACATATTTTTTTCTTCAAAGAAAACTAAGCTTAGACAGAGAGAAGTTGGAAGATTGATCACGGGCTGGGTCGCGTGATCCCATTCTCTGCTGCTCTCGGTGGAGAATGCAAGCGGCTCGCGCACTTGCCAGCTGATACCACCCAGTGGCGGCCAACTCAGGGATCCTCCTCATTTCTGCTTCCAACACCTCTCTGAGTTGACCGCCCCTGGGAAGTATCAGGTGGCAAGTTCGCGATCGCTCGACCCTGCTCGTGAACAATCTCCCAACTAATCTCTGTGATAACAATCATAATTTAACATTTTTTACCATCTCTTACCATGAAGTCCAGCAAGATCTGCGGCGATGAACAACCCATGATGACTTGAATAAAAAAAATGGATCCCCCTAATAAAAATGATTCACCTAAACCTGGAAAGGGGCACGAAAGAACAGGCAAAACAGAACATTAAACAAAAATCCAGGAAGTCGGAGAATAGACAGCGAATAAGTTAATAAAAGTCCAGAATATTAATGGTAGATCGATCTCATTAAATTGACTGAATTGGTGTTTTTCATATCACTAAGTAGGAAAAAATCCATTTAAATGTAGAATCGACAAAATATAATCAAAATGATTGTTCGCCGTCTCTTCTCCGTCAATCCTGACAAAGTGACATAGAAAACAACAGGAGGGACAACGTGGCCAAAAAAAATGATGATTGTCCGTTCGAAAGAACGGAAGACCATCGTAGTTGCCCTCTTCTTAAGGGGCCTCTTCGGCATATAGCCTCTTCGACTCTTGCAGTCTCTTCGGGCAGAGCCCCCTACGTCTCGAACGCTTGGCAATCCCCTGATTTTTCGGATTAAAAAAAAGTCACTCCGCGATCAGATCCAATAGCTAGCAAAACGACGACCTACGATCCGAGGATGCGCAGTCCGTGCGTATTGCACATTTATCCGGATTCCCAAGCGCGGTCTAATTAATTACATTCCTGAAATAAAATTGTCACAATCGCGGGCGTCCGGGAGTACCCCGAGCGAAAAATTTACTTTCCGGACTACAATTAATTACTTGCGGCAATCTATACGTTCCTTATTAAAGAAATTGGATTATTAAAGAAACTAAAATTGATTTTGTAAGAACCAGAGGTGTGTCCTCTTAATATCAGGCGGAAGTAATTTTTCGAAAAGAATTTTCTGTACAAAATTGGTTACGAAGTATTCGTGAATAGTCAAAAATTGGTGAGAAATACATCAAAAAGAATTTCTTTTTTTTTTTCGGAAAGTAATTCGTACCCTCGGCGTCGAACCCCGGACGCAGAACGAACATCCTCCACCCTTCCGGAAAGGCGAACGATGGAAAAGTATCCCAGGTCCAGGATCTCCCCCTAAACCCCTGGGAAGAGATCCCGCCCTGGCCCTGCCTGCTTACATCTAGACATTCACTCCAGACGACTATCCTACCTCCCTAGCTATATCTAAAAGAGCAATCACATTCAACCCAACTCATTCACTCCACGGTTCTCTAACATACCACCCGGGTGCAAAGACCCTAATCCTAGGGAGCGCATCCCGGGATGCCTCCGACACCCGAGTTTAATTCTGGCACGCATACATAGCATCGATTGCCATCGCCGATTGAATTAAAAATGTTACATGAATACATGAAATCGAAACGCGGATGGCAATCGAAGGAGCTTTCAATGTTTTTTTTTTTACCACGCCTTCTGGCCCTGACCCGTTCGACTCGCTCCTGGAGAAGTCGAAGGGCGAGAGCCAGCAAGGAACGCGGCCACACAAAGAGGCACCTACCGTTGCTGACGCTGAAAACATCCTAACTCAATTAAATTAGTCATGGCTAAAACGGGCTACGGACTCGACATTGATACTCTACAATTTCGATAAAAGAGAAAGACCAAGCCCAGCTCGCACTACGGCTCCAGGGTAGTGGAAGGCTTGGTCTAAAAGTCCTGCAATCCCTGAAGTCACCCCCTCGTCGAGGCGGCGACTCTTAGACGCTAGCACATCGACGTG